GGACATTGCAGTTTGATCTAAATGAAGCGACGGCACTAAAAGGCGGGAAAATGTGCTGCACATTGCTTACCGTTTGAGTTAAATAAAGCTTGTCGGGAAAGCAAACGAGACACAGTTTTGTTACGAAAAATTATTTACATAATTACGTCCAAATTTGTCTTCGGATAGGAAAAATGCGACAAAGATAAATGGTTTAAGGGAAAACTCGAAGTAGTGGTATTTCTGAAAATTATTCGCCTAGTTCAAGTCCAATGAAGCAAGATTTTACTTGTTTAATCATATCTGTAACAAAAATCTCAATTGCGATTGGTTCTCTACGCGCCTCTTTGTCACGCAATCGGCGCGTGTTTACGTGGGTGTCCAATTCTTCGCATACAATGTCACGCAATAAAAAAATAACAATTTTAAAACCATTCAGTGATTAAAGTCAAGACAGTCAAGAAATTGTGATCATTGTTATAGGCAATAAATGAAGAAGACACTTCTCAAAGTTTTAGGTCTGTGCGTTTTCCCAAACTTCAAATATTCGTCGAGGTATTTTGCACCCCCCCCCTGGCCAGGGGGGGTGGTCAGAGCACTTCTGGCCGCTGAGATTGCCTTTGAGCTGTTTGCGGTCGTGGTTTTGCGAATACGCGGTCAGATATGCTTTTCGAGAAACGCGATCGTAGCCTTATGTCAAGCACCGCCATAATTCTGAAATTCAAACAGCGCTGGTTTCCATTAGTAATAGTAACCGGATCGAGTGGAGTGCTCGTAATTTACAGTAGACCTCGCGCTTCGCTCTCGTCCATTTTGAAATTCCTCGCGCGATAACCCCATGAATTGTACTTCACCCGGTCCAATCACTATTACTAATTACGCGGCTGTCTTCATCAAGACTACGGACTGTGTTGCTCAAACGCTCAGAGTCGATCGAGTTCTCTGAAATTTACGAAAGGACAACACCCAATTGTCAAGTAACAGTTTTTACTGGGGTGTGAAACTTAATTTTATACAGAAAACCTTTTTTCAGTAACTGAGGGGTAAAAACGATGATCTATCGGTTTTTCAATCATCCCGTGAATTTTTGCTGCTTCTCTAATTCATTCCTTTGCTTTTTTTGTACATTTACAATCCCTTTCAATTACATGTTCCGTACCAAACTCTAGGTAGTTGGGATAATTTTGACATTTTGACTTTTGAACTAAGCGACACTTGCTGCACCTAACGGTCAAACCGAGATCCAGTGAACCGATAAGAAAGCTAGGCATGCATTAATCGAGGTTTAGAATTTAATAATTTTGCTTAGTCAGGGTCAAATATCACGGTGACTGAGGTGCGCGGATGCTACTATTATGATCTAGTGACTGCCAACCCTCTCCATTTATATATTAAACTGAACAAGAAAAGCCAGTCGAAATCCAGATCAGACGTAACTAGAATCTGGCCAGAAGTTTCTGAAAACTCTCTTGCTTTAATTTCCTCCATTTATCATTACTAAGGTAGACTAGTTAGTTAAAAGTTTAATAAGCTTTATTGGGAACAGAATGTATACGCATGACATATATCTAAAATAGTAAAAACAAACTAAAAGAAAAAGAAAAGAGAATGATTTCGCGAACGGGACTAGAGTACCCATGCGAGGTGCTTCCCAGAATGTTTGTTCATTTGGCGAAACGATAATAAACTTGCACGAGTCTGCAACCCACTCATTGAGATCAGTGCCAGCTTTGAAATTCAGGATCGATCTTGATCACAACGGTGGGAAAGTCTAACTTGATACTAAAACAAATTTACTCATGACAGTTGTCATTGCAGTCTTTATCGGTTGTTATTCACCCTGTGTAATGCTTTGATGGAATATTACGTCTTATCTTAACGTAGTTTTTACACCGGTTATTATTTTAG